AAGGAGTGAACTCTACTTTTCTAGCTCTAATTCCCAAGAAGTCCATGATTACTAAATTGTCTGATATTAGACTGATTAACCTTCTTACAAGTCTCTATAAAATAATTGCGAAAGTCCTGACTGAAAGATTGAAACTGTTCTGCCTTCCCTCATCTCTAACACTCAATTTACTTTCATCAAGGACCGTCAAATAACGAATAGTATGCTTTTGGCACAAGAATGTATTCATTCTCGGGGTCCTGAGTAAGAAGTCTGGTGTTTTGTTTAAACAGGACATGGAAAAAGCTTATGATCGTATTGAATGGGGAGTATTATTGAAGATTTTGAAAGTCATCGGGTTCGGTGAAAAGTGGAGGAGCTGGATTTTTGGATGTCTTTCCTCAGCTCATATTTCGGTGTTATTTAAGGGCAACCTGATTGGTTGCTTCAAGGCTACTAGAGATCTTCGATAAGGGGACCCTCTCTCCTTTCTTATTTACTATTTATACATAATGCTTCAGTTTGATGTTGAGCAGGGTGGAGAGAGTGGGTCATTTTGAGGGCTTCAGCATTGTGAATTCTGATATTTTAATCTTTCATTTGCAATATGCAGATGATACTCTAATATTTTGTGATGAGCATCTTTCTCAAGTTAGGAATATTGCTCGTTTTTTGGAAATATGTGAGGTCACAATTGGCTTTAAGGTAAATTTTAACAAATCTTTTATGATCGGTATAAATTGTGCAGATAATGTTGTTGTTGAATTGGCCAGTGTGATGGGGTGTAAAGTGGATTCTTTTCCTATCATTTATCTTAGCCTTCCTATCTCTGACTAAAAACTCTCTTTGACAGTCTGGGATAAAGTGCTTGAAACGGTCCAATCCATACTTGACCTCTGGAAACACAAGTATCTGTCTTTGAGTGGTAGGGTAACCCTGTTGAGAGTCTGTCTAACTAATCTTCCAGTCCATCATATGTATGTGGTTAATATGCCTACCTCGATTACGAAAAGGGTTGAGAAAATGATGCGGGATTTTCTTTGGTATTCTAATAATGAGGTTAGGAAATTTTATCTTCTTAGATGGGATACAGTATGTACTCTAAAGAAAGAAAGTTGATTGGGAATATGTAGAATTAAATTAGTGAATCAAGCTCTGATGTACAAATGGTGGTATCGTAATCTTCATTTAAACGACCACCTTTGGTACAAAGTCCTTGTTTCCAAGTATGGTGTGAATAGATTTGAAGTTTGGCTTGGGGGTGATAGAGGAAAGGACATTTCTCAGATGTAGAGGTCGATTGCAAAGTGTAAGCTAATGATTTCAGGTTATTTTAGATGGAATCTTGGAAATGCTAGCCAAATCTCTTTTCGGCATCATAGATGGATAGGGGAATACCCTCTGAAGTCTGTTTTCCCAAAATTGTTTGGGCTGTTACGAGGCCGAATATGTTAGTCAGTGAGGCCGTGGAAAGAAGGGGTCAAAATTTTTCTTGGAACATTTACTTGGCCTATAGTCGTTTGAATAATGTTATTTTTTCATAATGGTGTGGTTTAATGGAAATGCTGGATAAGAGCTATGTGTCGCAGAATACTAAGGATGAGATGGTATCTTCACTGTTAAATCTTGTTATAGTATTTTCTTTCACGATCGATGGAGATAGTCGTACCCTCAGATTGGTTAAATTTGGAAATGGTCGATACCCCACAAAGTACAAGTTTTTATTTGGCTGACTGTTATGAATAAAGTACTGATCATTGATAATTTGATTAAAAGGGGAAAAATTTTCCCGAATGTGTGTCTTCTATGCAAAGCTGATGGTGAATCTGATGCACATCTTTTTATCCACTGTTATTTTAAGGTGAGAATTTGGCACTGTCTGTTGGTGCTCTCGGTATCAATTTAGCACTTCCTCAATCGGTGGAGGGGTTAGTTTCTCAGTTTTCCCTTCCTCATTTACCTAAAGTGGGCAGGATTACTTGGAGGATTGCTAAAGGCGTAATCCTGTGGGAGGTTTGGAAAGAAAGAAATAGAAGGTCCTTTGAGGGGACTTTTATGGCTTTTGACCGACTAATTCATGCTATCAAATTTTCAATCTGGTCGTGGCTATCTGTTTTAAAAGAGGGATGGGGTATCTCTAAAGTGGATGTTATGGCAAACTTACACAACCTTTTTCATCTTGGTTGTGTTAGTAATAGACCGAGACATATTTGGATTGCGCCTCCAGCAAGTACCTTGAAACTCAACTTTGACGGTAGTTCTCTTGACAATCCTGGTTTAGCCGGAATTGAAGTAGTGTTGCGTGATTGTTTGGGTAACATCATTTTTGCCTATACTGGACCTATAGGTGTTGCAACTGCAAATTGTGCGGAGCTCAGCGCGTTACTTGAAGGTTTGAAAATTTTTATTGCAAATAATTGTGGTAACAAATGTTGGATTGAAGGGGACTCCCTGAATGTTATCAAGTGGTGTAACGTCGAACAGTACGTGCCATGTGAACTCCGGCCTTTATGGTTACATATTTTAGATCTTGCTTCCCCTTTGTCAATCTCCTTCTCTCATGTTTATTGTGAAACAAACTTTGTGACTGATGCCTTGGCTAAGGGTGGTTCTTCTTTACTTTCTTTTGTCATTTCTAATTATGTAATTTCATTTTCTTAGTATTCAATAAAAGTGGTAACATTGTCAAACAAAAAAAA